TCAAATCATATAATTTCTTTTCGATAACAGTAAATTCAGGTAACGGTAAAACAGATCTAGTGATAACGAAAATATTTAAAACAGCGGTAATCTTCTCAAATAACTATTTTGGTATCATATCGAGTAAAAAACTTGTCCCACATGCAACTTAAAATAATCGGTAACATATTCATGTTAAAAATCATGTGTAAATCATGCAAGTTATGAAAACACAAATTACAATAAGATTACTACTCACAGTACTCGTACCGAAATACCAAATGCTTCACCTCGAGCAATTCGTACAAATTCCTCCAATCAATCTATAATTACATAATATCAATCTCATGTTAATTTCCTTGTTTAGGCTAGTTCATAGCTAATTTAGAATACCCAACCCTCGAGGTTTCATATTTGACTCTTAATTCGCCAAATTATATTTACCCACCTATGAGTAATTACTAATCTATCAACTCCAACATATTCATATATTTTATTAATCCAATTTCATAAAGTTCTATTGATTCTTTAGGAAGAAAATTCCCAAGTGTGAATGAACTAGTGTAATTTTTATTTCTCTATAGAATCTCTCAATCATGAGAATCGAAATTAAAATCTACCAGAAAGAGAAGCTCAAGTTATACTTGTAAGACACAATTCGTGCTTAAGATTCCTCAACAGATTGCCAAAGATTAACAAAAATTTATACATATCTTTCCTTGTTTCACTAACTTTTACCAATCTCCTTATTTAACTCTAACCATTAAAATATATTCTCAAATTTGTGGAATAAGTACCTGAAGATTTGAACAAATAATGGATGGAAGTGCCTTCTTTTGCGGTACCAAGCTTTTTCCCCAACTCACTTTCTGTATTTATTTTTGATTTTTCGCTTTAATTCTGACCCGTTTCTTTTTTTTTTGCTTTTGTTTGGTTTTACGCAGCAGAATTGATTTTTGTTGCAAGAGAAAGGGGCTTCGGCCCTTTCTTCCTTTTTCGTTTCTGTTAGCTAGCGTAGGGCTTGCCCTATTTAATCTTATTTGTAATTTTTTGGTAAATTACTTAATTACCCTCTTTCTTTTAATGAGTATTACAGTATCATTCAATATTGCCATTTCAATCGCGTTTGGTCTTAACGACCCACCTACACCCGATTCTTTTAGAACTTTCTGGCAATTCAGCAAGATCCCAGACTTTATTATATTCCATGAATTTTAACTCTTCCTTGATGGCATCAATCCATTTGTCAGATTCATTACATTCTATGGCTTGTGAAAATGAAAACGAATCCTTGTTAAAACCAATGTCAAAATCTGACTCTTGCAAATAAATCATGTAATCATCCGAAATAGCCAATTTCCTAACTCTTTGAGATTTTCTTAATGGCATTTCTTGTGCTTCGTTTGTGTTAGATATTTGTGAGTTAGTTTCTTCATGAAGTGTTTCATCCAAATTTTGCTTGGTGTTGTCAAAGTGTTCTTTAACAACTGGAATAATATTTGGTATTTTTGTGGAAGTAGGTGCATTCCCGGGTAATAGAATATTGCCCCTCACCTCTTTAATTTCCACACTTTGCTTTTCAACACTCCCACTAACTTTACCATTCTCATTGAATCTTGTGTTACTGGTTTCAACAATTCTCGAACTATGGTTTGGACAGTTAAACACATACCCTTTAGATTTCTCTAGGTAACTAATAAAGTAATCACTTACTGTTCGAGAATCTAATTTCTTTTCTTGTGGATTATAAACTTTAGCTTCCATTAGGCAGCCCCAAACATACAGGTGTCTTAAACTAGGTTTCCTTCATGTCCACAGTTCAAAACGGGTCTTTGGAGCTGCCTTACTAGGAACATTATTTTATAAATATACAACGGTTTTAAGAGCATACATCCGTAATAATTTGGGTAATGAGGAATTTCTCATCATGCTCCTAACCATATCCATAAGTGTTCGATTACGCCGTTCTGCAACACCATTTTGTTTAGGTGTTCCTGGCATAGTATAATGTATACAAATGCCATGTTCCTTGAGGAACTTTGCAAATGGACCTGGACATTGTCCTGATTCATTATATTTTCTATAATATTCACTACATCTATCGGACCTAATGATTTTTACCTTTTTATCTAATTGCATTTTAACCTCATTAACAAACACTTTAAGAGCATCTGTTGCTTGAGATTTTTCTTTCAGTAAATAGATGTATCTATAAAGTAAAAAATCATCGATAAAAGTGATAAAATATTTTTCTCCACCAAAAGATGGAACATCAAAGGGTCCACAAATATCGGTGTGTATAATTTCAAGAAGTTGGGCGCTTCTTGTGGCACCTTTCTTACTATACTTAGTTTGATTTCCCTTAATGCAATCCAAACATATAGTAAGATCAGTAAAATTTAGATTCGGAAGAATCTCATTCCTTACTAATCTTTCTATCCTTTCTTTGGATATATGACCCAAACGTCTATGCCACAAGTAAGCAGAACTTTCATCTAGTGAACTACGTTTAATTCCAACATTATGTTGAACAGTAAAAGGGGATTCAGAAAAACCAATATCGAGTTTCAACTTATATAAACCATCACTAAGAAAACCAGAACCATAAAAAATAACATTCTTATATAAATTGAAACATTCATTTCCAAACTTTAAATCAAATCCAGAGACATCAAGTCTTGAAAAAGAAATCGAATTTCTAGAAACTGAAGGCACATAAAGAGTCTGTAGTAGATCAAGGTGATGCACAATCTCCATTATCAAACGATAAGTCCATATGCCTTCAATTGGAGCCTTCATACGATTTCCCGTGAATAAGAAATCCTTATTTGGATTTGTAGTTTGGATTGTAAGGAATCCCTTTCTTTTCGAACCAAGCTTTACATTTCAAGCAATCTTTCTGATAGTGTCCTTCCTTGTTACGGAAATGACACGTATCTGTCTTATGTTCTTTCTTAGCATCCCGTGGAGCTTTAGCAAGTGCTTTCTTCTTCTTGAACTTGTTGGCCTTCACTTTAAGTTCTTTACCAGCTCCTTGACCCATGAGGTTAATTGAATGATTCCCTTATTTCTTAAGTCTTGACTCCTCCTAAGTAAGCATACTAGACAATTCACTAACATTCCACTAACCCTTAATAATGTTATAGTTAATTTGAAAAGGTCCATACTCAGGAGTTAATGAGTTCAGAATAAACTGAACCAAGAAGGAGTCATCCACTTTCGTCCCCAAGGTCTGAGTCTTGTTGTAATGTTAGTTATCTCGATGATATGGTTTTGCATACTACGCGACCCATCAAACTTCACGGTCGTGAGTTAAGCCATTAGTATACCAGCGAGAGACTTATCTGCAGAACGAAAATGTTCGTCCACAAACTTCACGTATTCCCTGGCACTTTCTGTTTGTAGAATAGTACTCTTAATGTTGTTGGCAATATTCATTCGCATAAACATAAGACTTAGCCTGTTAGAGCGTTCCCATGCTTTATGGAAAGACTTCTCATCCGCACTGCTCGAATCAGTAATGGCAGCGGGCTTATCATTAGCAAAGCCAAGTCAAGATCCATCACACCTAAGTGGAACTGGACTTGTTCATGCCATTTAGAGAAGTTCAACCCGTTGAACACAGTAACAAACGAAGCATGCGAATGAAAAAGGAATAGCTGCAAATAGATAATAGATGCTCACAAATCAATATGGATTCAACAAAACATTTAAAGCATATCACAATTTTCCTTTGAGTAAATACTACGACACACTATCATAATTTAAACGTCATTTAGTCTTTAATAGGTAATTAAATATTTTAACCAAATATATTTGTCATTTTTGGACACAATATATATTTGACTAAGAATATTAATTTACTTCATCATATTCATTATTCATAGAATAATTGATTCACCTTTTGGTAAATCCTTAAATATAGCAATAGTAAAAATTAATTTATCCACTAATTTTTAATTATAGACATTTCATTAATTTCATGAATAAACTTTAATTTTATGCATGTATATTTTCATAAACAAACTAGTTTGGCCACTTTAATGACTAACAATCAGCTCTAATCAATGTACCACCAATAAGTGGCAGAGTCACATTGTCTTGTAACAATCAGCTCTAATCAATGTTAGTTCGTTAAGCATGGCATTATTTTTTTCAAAAGCTCACACCATTTAAGAGTATCTTTTCACACTTTATATGTTATTTTATTTTTTTCTTTCAACTGAGACTTTGTTCTTAACCAACAAAAAATAATTGAAACAATAAATTTGTTTGGATGATTCTCAAGTAATAATGGTGATGCCACGTGTTGCTAGAGCTGAGTATATTGAAAAAAGTCTATTTAAAGGGGGGTCTTAAGATATGTTGAAAACGTAGGGTTAAGCAATGGCCTTTCAAGGGTCTTTGTTGCTAGGCCTCTTTCTATTATTAACCAACGTCTTGGTTTTAATAGAAGTCTCATTAGCTGCAAATGTGCCAAGCCATGAAATTACACTTCCATTCAACCGCACCATTTTCCCATCTGAATTCATATTTGGGGCTTCCTCTTCCACCTATCAGGTAGGATTTTGGACTTGGATTTTTGGTTTATTCTAGTAATATTTGAGTACATTATGTAGAAACCAACTGTTGGAAAATGTTGCTCATGACAGTATGAAGGAGCTTGGAATGAAGATGGTAAAGGCCCCAGTATATGTGATACCTTTACCCACACTCATCCTGGTCTCTTTCTTTCCTTTAGTCTCTCCTTTCCTTTTTGTTTTTTTTTCCCGATGCCATTTACAATATAATTATGTCTTGTTCTTCTTCTTTTATCCCACGAGCAGCTAGTTCATGTAGTTAGCAAGAATCCAACTAACTAAACTGGGCTAAAGTGAATTAATATGCTTGGAAACTTTTGTTGTGCTTAGAAAAAAAATTCCTGGAAAAGGAGACTCCATGCAATTATCAAGTTCAGCTTTTGTCGAAAACAATTTCTTCCGTGACTGAACAAACAAATCAAATTGGATAAGGAACCAATTTACTCACAATTTTGCATAGTGCAAATCAAAACCAAACCAAACCAGCTATATCGACTTGTTTTCGAGTTCTTTTTTTGTTATATGAATATTATTTTAAATTTTACTTTGTTAAATCTATAAATAAAGTGTTGATAGGTGACTATATATTTCGTAAAAATTTTAAAAAACTGAAAAACATATGATCTATTAAATATTCTTATAGAATTTTTTTTAGTAATATGTGATATAGTTATTTTCTTGGTCTTCGAACAATAATTTTTTGTTGATATACACTTTCAAGTTAATCGAATTTAATAATTAAATATAAAAATTAATATAAAACTTAAAAGATGATATGTTATAAATTTTAAAATTATCAATAAACCATTTCAAATTCGAAAAATAGATAAGAGTTTAATAGATCTTGACATATGAATATGGAACAACCAAAAGATTGACGCGTTTCAATAACATTTGATAAGAAAGTTATGATACAACCTATTATTTAAAGTATAAAAAAATAGATACATTCCATGAGAAGATTACAAATATTTCTAGGTATCTTTTGAAGAAAATTCTATATAAATTCTTCAATGTATCTATAAAATTATATATTTATTTGTTGGTTTGATTCGAATTTTTATTATTGAATACCAAACCAATCAAACCAAACCTAATTAAATTTTAAATTGATTTGATTTGACTTTTCGATTTGGGGTAGTTTTCTTATCCGGTTTGAACAGCCATAGTACTTCCTCCACCATGCCCATGGATTACTCATATTTGTTGAATGATCTCCATGTGTTTTCGGAAAGACCAAAAAGGAAGAAAAAAGAATATCTTAACCGTAGCTGATTGTCTAGGCATATATGTAAATGGACGTCCTTTTTTGCAATCAACCGAAGTCCTATATCGGTCCCACCCATGACCCAACAAATATCTGTAAGAACAGACCATGAAAATAAATTTATGTCAGATTTGTTCCATTTATACAGTAAATAAGGCAGCTATTGGGGCATACTTGTCTTGCACAAAGACACAGCATGGGAGGCCCCATACATAGACTGATCACTGGCAAAACTAGCAAAGCAGAGTGTCATGCTCAACTGTCCACAGTAGTATGTCTCAGTCTAGCCCACTCGGACCTAAATGTTTTTAATTGAAATTAAAAGGACACAATTGAGATCTGTATTTCAATTACTCAATCTTCTTCGTATCTTGCTAGCGTCTCCACCATCTTTAATACATTGAAAATGTGTGACTGTGCAGTGTGCACTCCAATGCTTAATTTATAAAGAAAAAGAAATCACTCAAATGCCAACAATTATTGGGAAGAAGTCCTCTTTTTGTCCATTCAAAAATATTCAACAATGGTTTATTTTTCTAACTCATTCGCTCTAAGAGTATGTTTGGACATAAAAAATTTTTTTCTTTTTTAAAAAAAATTCACTTCTTTTCGAAATCAGTGTTTGTTCATAAAATTTTCAATTCTCACCTGAATATGCATTTTGGAAATTTTTGAAAATTTGAAAAACTCCAAAAAACTGTTTTTCAAAATTTTCACTCAAATCACTCACAAAACTTCAATGCATATTTACGGTACCAAGCTTTTTCCAAACGCCCACTAATCTATGAAATATTTACTCTTTATGGACCATGCATAAATATTTAAATTTAAACTTGAGATATTATGATATCTATGCAGAAAAAATATTGGATCACAGCAATGGAGATGTAGCTCTTGACTTTTATCATCGGTACAAGGTATGAAATTTCCAATGCTTACTATCGAGCGGATGAGGAGAAATGAAGAGATATATTCGTCCATTTTCTCAAAACTATAAAATAGGAAAAAGAATAACTCTAAAACTGTTATCAAAATTAATGCTTCTCCCTTGCAGGATGACCTTAAACTAGCAAAATTTGAAGGACTGGATGCCTTTAGGTTTTCTATCTCTTGGACAAGAATTCTACCACGTAAGGAGATTTGATAATATAACCTATTGTCCCGACTTTTTATTTGATTTACTTATGTCACTAATTAACGCATTTTATTCACCTTTGATGTGACAAGAGGTGTTGGTCAGATGGTTAACACCCTCTACCTACAACCTCAAGGTCGTGGATTCGAGTCACAAAAAAAAATGCACTTTTGTTGTGTCTAAAATCTTTCATTAGCAAAAAAGAACTTGCTAAAATTTAAGTTAACTTCTCATAAGCTCCATCCATTATAATGTTAAAGTAACTAAATTATGCTTTATCCTATTAAAACAATTGAACTTTACTTAACATAATAGTAAAATCACTAAATTTTAGTAACCTTCCTATGATAAAATAATTTAGTAACGGTACTGTTATATATAGTGGATAAAGTTAAGTTACTCTAATAGGGATCCGGATATCAAATCGATGCAAGTAAAACTAGTGGCGGATTTACCTTATAGGTTAGGGGTACACGCCACCCGCACACTTGGCAAAAATACTTAGCAAGTATGTTGATATCAATGAAATAGAGATAATATATATAAATTGGTACTCATATTACACAATTGGCGCGTGGGTCCCATGTTTCAGCGTTGCCTCTTAAGGCTCATGTTTCCTGCAGCAGTGTTTCAGTCATTCTTTTTTTTCCCTACTTGGCATTTGTATTTGTACCCGTTTTTTGGGTCACGTTTTAGTTTGTGCCCGCTTTGCAAAAAAATTACAAGCGTACCCATTTTTTCGCGTAACTTCAGCATACAGGGTTGAAGTAGCAAAGACAATCACGCAAAACTTCAGTATTCTGGTAGACAGACAAGTGTGCTGAACCAAGTGTACTGAAGTTTTTGTTTATAATTGTTGAGCTTAAGCATAATAGCTGAAGTTTTGTTCTCTATTTGCTGAAGTTTTGGTTTGTAATTGCTGAAGTTTTTGTTTTAGTTACTGGAAAAACTTCAGCTCTAGCTAAAATTTTTGTTTTGTAACTGGCGAACTTCAGCAGTTTTTGTTTTTGTAACTGGCGAACTTCAGCTCTAGAGCTGAAGCTTTTGTTTTGTAACTGGCGAACTTCAACTTTAGAGCTGAAGTTTTTGCTATTTATTACTATGAATCCACAATAATCTTCAAAGCGGGAATCACATCGTATGGCAATCCACGACGATTTTCAAAATGCGAATTCACATCGTATAGCAATCTAAGTCCTTGTGAAATCAAATAGCTAGTATTCTTGCCAAATTACTTGTCGCATTTGAATTTTTAGTACTTACAATTAAAAGAAATTCTGAGTAATAGTAAGAAATATTTATTTAAAAGAGATAGTTGAAGAATAAACTTCGTCAAGAATATCTCCACAACCTATGTCAATTAATGGAACATTTTCACAATCAGCGACTCCAGAAAGGAGTGACCCATCGGATTGAGGGCGGATATAACTTTGAGGAGGAGAATGAGGAGGAGAAAGTGGGCTGAAGTTGGTTAAAAAATGTGTACAAGTTAAAACTTTTTTTAAAAATGGGTATAGGTTAAATGGGGGCGACCAAATAGGGCTTCCCGTGCAATTTTTACTACTTATTAGTAGTAGTCCTTAATTCCTTATCTCCTTTATTCTCCGGTGGGCCTTGGGCCCTCATTTCTTCTTAACGGGAGAAATTCAAAAATAGCCAAATTTATAAGTGGTCATTCAAAAATAATCACAGTTTCAAAAATAATTAAAATTTAGCCACTTTTCGTGTAAAGATAAATCTAAACGAAAATATTGTTCAAAATCCGAAAAAATATTCCATCATAATACACTGGAGTTTCAGTATAATATATCGGTCCACCATAATATACTGGAATTTGGAGCACCGGTGCTACAGTCTCTAGTATATAATACTGGAGCCAGCAAAGTATACTGGTCCATCATAATATGCTAGAAGTTAATACACAGGTGTACCGAACTCCAGTATATTATGTTGTACCGGTCTCTGTTGCCGCAAAATAGTGGTTATTTTTCAATAACTTGGCAAACGTTGACTATTTTTGAATAACCAGTCCAAAAGCTGGCTAGACCGTACTATTTTAACCTTCTTAACTTCCCCAGCTTCTTTGTTTTTCCTCCTCTTTCTTTTCTCTTCCTGTTATTTGCAACGGAAAATCTCTCTATCTTTTTTTAATATTTCTTTACGTTAGCCTTCATTTTGCTTTCTACTGTTATACATTATTTCATGAACAATCTATCTCGATGCATAATTTTAAAATGATTTTAGGTAATATGTAGTTTCTTTATTTTTAACGATGGAACATTAGTTTATATATGGAGTATAATTTGAGCAATATCATTTATTGGCTTTTGAAAGAAAAACAAATATCTTGATTAATAGGGGGTTTGAGTTGATTTTCATAGATTGACAATTTGAAATTTTTAGTTTAGAAATAATTGTCATATAACTCGATAATTAAATTGAAAATATTAACCCAAGAACAATGATCAATTAATCAAATCGAACAAAAAATATATAGTAATTAAGCGATTTTTAAAGAAAAGTTTCTAATTGGAGGCGTATTTTGATGAATTATTATTATTCTTAATTTTATTCTAGAATATAATTAAATCAAGCATAAAAATAGAACTAAAATCGAACTTATTTCCCTATTTGTGGATAAAAGACATAATTGAATTAACCAAACACTAACAGAATCGATCCTTTTTCTTATTCAGTCTTTGTGGCTAGTAAATATGCTATATATAGTGACATCCGCAACCTTCAAATTCTAAATCCGTCTTTGTAAAAGTGTCTATGAGATTATTCTACCCATAATTACTGTCAAGTTAAAACAAATCATTAAAAAAATTCTCAGCCACATTGAAAGAGAATGACCTAAAGCGTCGGTGAGCGATGCTTTTAGTGGAGATTAACTTAAGGTTTAGACTTCTGACCTCTTTTTCCTCTATTATCATTATTCCAGGCTTGATTATCTAATTGCAAAATCTTTTCTATTATCTTATGTCATTTTCAGTTAAATATTAAAATGGAAGAGAGATTATAGTGTTGATATATNCATTATTCATTAATTTTGACTTCTCACTTTCTGTATCTTCACTTTCAGATGGGAAGCTAAGTAAAGGAATAAATCAAGCTGGTATCGACCACTACAACAGTCTCATCAATGAGATTGTAGCCCTTGGTTCTCTGTTCTCTTTTCCCTCTCTCATACATACATACAAACAAAAAAATGCTAAGATTGAGCTAATAATTTGATTTAATTACTATTTAGGTATCAAACCTTTGGCAACACTTTTCCATTGGGATGTGCCTCAAGCACTAGAAGATGACTACCTTGGTTTTCTCAGCCCTAAGATTGTGTAAGTCGCTGTAAATTAATTATTTTTTTCTTAATCGTCTTATACTAATAAAATGATTTGATTTACGGTTTACAAAACATTGTTTTATATAGATAAAGCATTGCCTTGTATAAATAATTATTTTTCTTCCAAGGAAAATAGAGCATAAATTATTAAGATCGTAAATATTACAAAGCCATAATATTATTACTGCGTAGGCGACATTCTAGTTTAAGTTACTCTTCAAAGTCTTGGTCAAACACTTGAATTACATAAAGGGAGAGGGTTTCCTAAAATTTAAAAATAAAGAATGTTATGAAAAACTCCAAGTTGTAGAACAAAATAAATTATCTAGTGTGTGTGCGCGCGCTACTTTATTGACCTCTATGTACTGTATGTTTAACTGATGAATCCCCCAACTTATGGATTAATGACCTCCATAAATGATATAGCTCGTGTCCAAATTTAGTATGTATATATCGTAAGTTCTAAGTCCAAACTAACACCAAATTAAATTTAAGAAATAATTAGTGATGAATATAATGACTTGTATTGACAGGGAAGATTTCCTAGATTTCGTGGAGATTTGCTTTAAATTTTTTGGACATAGGGTGAAGCTGTGGTCAACCATGAACGAGCCATGGATTTTTTCAGTGACCGGTTACGACAGTGGCACGTTGGCACCCGGCCGGTGTTCTGTTTGGAGGAACAATAACTGTTCCGCTGGAAATTCTGCCACCGAGCCTTATACAGTTAGCCACAATATCCTTCTTGCTCATGCAGCTGCTGCTAAACTCTATAGGCAAAAATACAAGGTAATGATGTTACATTATATTTCACAAACTAAATTTTTGGAAAACCAGCTGATTAGGCAATAATTAGGTGGTAATATTCCCGAACAACATCACCCTTATAGTGAGAATAGTTTTTGTTTCATGCGTTGACGAAATAAAGAATTACACAATTAATTTACTTATAAGATAATTAGTATAAGTAAACTTTTATGATAAATATTAATTGATAATTTGATAAAAAATAATAACTGGCCAGCTATAATAGATTAACTTGTGTATATATATATATATATATAACACTTAAATCTAAATGAGAATTACTGTCTATTTTTTACTTTCGGAATCCTATTTGAGTGAAATCGGACCTACATAAATTAGTCTCTTTTCTTTCTTTCTAAATATTACTATTTACAAACTTAGAGACTGCATTTAATATTACGACCAGTAAAACTTTTAGTCTCGTAGTATGTTACATGGTACGTGTTTAATCTGTAATGAAAAGTATACTAGAGAAAACTAACAGTTGTGTTGGAGTATAATAAGGTGGTTATGGTAACCTGGTGTCACACCTCCTTTTTACACACCCGAAGGTAGTATAAGGGAGTTTTTTCAATTTAAGTGATATTATTCGAATTGGGATTAATTATTCATTTTTGTTCAGAATCGCCACTTGGGATGGTTTGTTTTCTGGTGTCCCAAGTCATCGGTTTATTTTTAAATCCCAAATCGAGGAAGATTTCGACTTTCCTTTTGAAGTCTGCGAACCAGAAATTCTGAGTAAGGAATTCTGTTAACTCGAAGGAAGGTGTTAGGCACCCCCGGATTCCGTGGTTCTAGCACGGTCGCTTAAACTATCATAATTGGCCTATTATCTGATTTTAAAACATGTTTTAGCCTATGGTATGATTTTTGCGGTCCACGACACATTTTATTTAACGTTGTTGAGATTTGGATTTGGGTCACATGAAATGCACACCCGAGTTTAAGGAAATTAATTTAAATAGCGCGCCTAAAGCAACTAAGCACTTTCAAGTTTGCGAGGGCCATGGAAAATTCAACTAATGGCACACCTCGAATTTTAAGGATTTTAAAAAAATAATTAAATGCGGGCCGCACATTTGGAGATTTTATTTGGCGCGGCGCACCTTCATTTTAATTTTTTTTAAGGGTATTCAAACTAAAATTTGAAGGGCCATAACTATTGATGTTACTAATATAACTCACCTTAATTATTTTAAGGGCTTAATTATTTAACACTCAATGAAGTTAAAAGTTCCATATTGTCGTTTAGTTAACAGTCAAAGGCCACAAATGGGCTTCCCATGTGAAGTCTAAAACCAGGAAAGCTAGCAAAAGAACTGGGCATGACTGGGCCGCAATTACGACCCAAATCATATTCGAAGGAAGCTGTCAAGCTTGGGCCCAGAAATGAGCCCAATTCCGAAACCTCAACAGGTCTGAGTGAAAAAACTCAGTGTCGAGTCCCTACAGCCAAGAACCAGCGATATTCAACAACAAAAAAAAATCAATGGGACCAATATGTGTGCAAACAACCTCTAGGCTCGTTTTACTTAGCAGCAAGTAATGACAATGGAATTCTCATCATGGACAACATGTTTAATCTAATTTTAAACCTGTATCACTATGAGTCATGCATTTTTGACTTTATCCCATTACAGAAAACTTTTGTATATCTAAACAAGTCCAAAATTCATTCTCAAACCAATGCATATATCCAATTACCTCGAGTACCCAGAGATTGATGCCAATTAGACCAGTATTCATAAAATTTTACTCCCCAAAAGCAAACAGTCACCCTTTTTAATCGAATGCATTCTGATTCTCAAATAAAACTAAATGATAAGCTAGAGATCAAAAGAGTCTAACTACATGCTTGAATATATGCATAACAAACAGTGAATGACTTAAATCACAGTCCCTATACACAAGATCTCAAATGTCCTGAATTACTTACACACCAATCAAACCATCAGACCATGTGTTTTCATCACAAACAAAATGCAGCATGGGTTTTCTAGGGAATAACACACTACTGCTATATTAAAATGAACAGGTCAGGCTAAATACTATTACAATATACCACTAAACTTCAGAAATTCTAAGTAAAGAACTAATATTGATGATTAAGGAAAAAACAGTATTCATTCATGAGATCTTCATGTAATTATAGCTCTCATACTTGCATCTCATCTCCTATAGAATCAGGGAATACCTGGAATTAAACGAAATAAGAAAAAGGGAGAATCAGCAATAATGACAGCAGGGAATCAGCAGCAGGTTCCAGTAACAAAAGTAAACCAACAAAACATTTTTCAAAACCCAGAAATGAAGTACCGCAGCCCAGAAATCAGTCTCAAACACACAATTAAACCAGCTGACCTCAAGACCAACCTCAATGACTAAGTCTCAAACCATTTTTAAGTTCAAATAATCAGGAAATCGATTCAGGAAGAAGAGAATTTCAGATTACAAAACTAAAGCTCAATGAAACAGTGTTTTCTCTAAAAAAATCTCCATTGAGCCTCAAGTAATTATGCCTTTATAGGCAAGTTACTAGGGCGGCCTTAGGTTTTTTTTTTTCATTTTTTTTATCCTTTCTCATTTTCCTTTTGCTAGTTAGCTCCCTTATTTTCTGACTTGGTATCCAAGCAAGGCTATTTTCAGCTTTCTAGGAAGCTTCTTGGGTGGTTACTTGAGAGATTCTCTCAGTGTATTGCCCCCAATTACCCCAAAGTGCCATGAAATTTACTTTGGACCAAATAGGGTCAAATGAACAAAAACCCAGACCCAAACTTGTCCAACGGGCAGACTTCCAAATTTGGGCCGTCATTCAATGAGCTGAAACTAATCAAACCCCAAACCCAGTCCGAAACAAACTTAAAGAGAAGGCAGCCCAAATCGAAACTGAGACGGCCCAAATATTCAATTCATCTTTTTTTTTTTAATAAAGCACTTTTAACAGAAAAATGTAAATTAACACTGAATTAATGAGCATCAATTCTGACTTAGGCTAAATGAGAAGGAGGAAAAGTTTAATGGCTAACAATTGAGCTTTAAGGTGAGAAAGAAAAGGAAAGAAAGTAACGATGAAGCCCCGATAAGCTTCGAAATCCTCAAGAACAAAGATGACTTTGATTCGAACTTGAACTCCGGCAAATCCAAGGCTTGACCAAACGGTGAGAATTGTAACACGAATATTAGCCGAACTTTCGTTCATGGCTAATAATTCATGCACCAATCCCCACCATGTACCAAGAAAGGAATGGGGCATAAGCTTGAAGAAGTTGAATCGTTTCAAGGATACGCGTCCGAAATCTGGCCAAAGTCAAAGGATAGAGCCTTCTTGACATCAACCAGACTTCCTTTGATGAAGAACCGAGGACTTCGTGCAAGTATCAACACGAACTAGGGATTTAAACCGGAAAATTGGAGCAAAAGGAAGAAAGTTTGGATTTTTATTTTTTTGATCTACAATTCGCCAGAATTGAGTAATCTTTTGGGAAAATCAAGGGCATGATGTGGAAGAGGGGATGATGAGGATTGGCTGGCTAAGATTTGGGGGTGTTTGGAGGAGCTCCGCCGCCGTGGGGCAATTTCCGGGCGGCGGAGAGACGGTGGAGATAGGCGGCGATTTGAGAGGAAAAGGGGATTAGATTTTGGAGCTCAATTAAATAAGAGACTGGACCAACTTGGTCGTTTAATGCTGAAGGAATACCTAAACGACGTAGTTAGGCATTGATACTACGTCGTTTTGGCTACAATGAAACGGACCGGGTATGGGGACGGGCCATGACCAATTCTGGACGGGTTTCAAGAAGACCTTCGTTTGGGCATAAGGGAATTAAAACAGCTCAAAATGGCATCAGCCCTTTTCTTTATTATTCCTTTTCTTTCCCTTTGTTTTTTTTTTCTTTTTCTTCTTCTTTAATTAAAAATCCTAAAATTGAGATCCTAGATTATCTAAATATGAAATTAAACTAATTATAAAAATTATAAACAATACTTAAATCTGAATTAAAAGAGAAAAATCAATAAGCTAAAAATCAAAAGACGAAAATGTAAAAATGAGCTATTTTTTATGATTTTCGAATTTCTATAAAACAACTAATTTACTAATTAATCTAAAAGATATAAAATCTTAAATGCAAATGCCATGTATATTTTCTTTTTTGAAATTTTTTCATGATAAAAATAAAAATTAAACGTGCACAAAAATGCAAACAATTAATAAAAAACCTATAAAATCCTATAAAATGGTAAATAATTAGAAAAAATCTATTTTCTTTGATTTGATAGGAGCAATTCATATAGGGCAAAAATCACGTGCTCACACCTGGTCTTTCTTTTTGCCCCTCAATAAACATAAAATATCTACCGCAGTCAGACCTCTCTATAATAGCATCGCTATATAATAGCAATTCATTATATATTATGTTATAATATATGTTCTCTATAACAACACTTTGCTATAACAATTAAAAAAAAATCAAAACAAACAAGACTGTTATAAAAAGGTTTAACTGTATATATTTCTAATGATGATGATAATTGCACAGCCAACTCAAAAAGGGGAAATCGGAATTATTCTAGTGTCTCACTGGTTCGAGCCTTTCTCCAACAAACCGGAGGACATTAGAGCATCTAGACGAGCACTTGATTTTATGCTTGGATGGTAAGTCCAAATATAAAGATTGTTCAGATGGTATAGAGTACTCCCTCTGTTTCCTTTTATTAGAATTTAGATCTATTGACTAGACATGTCCCTTAAGAAATTATTTATTAAAAATTTATTTTACTAAATTATCTTTGGTAATAATTATTAAAGTTGTAACTCCAATAAATTTGAGATGTGTGGGGGTTTTAATGCTAAAGATAATTAATATCAAAAAGAGAAAATAATAATTTTTTATTTGTATTTGATAAAATGAACAAGTAATTTGATTTAATTTTATTTTTTAGTATATGAAACTAGTAAAAGGGAACTAAGAGAGTATTAAATGTCAATATTACTTAATTTTTTTTCAGATGCTTAAACCTTTATTTGCAGGTTATTACACCCTTTGACTTATGGAGATTATCCCATAATCATGAAGGGACTTGTCGGAAAGCGCTTACCAAAATTTACCCCTAAAGAATCTGAATTGGTAAAAGGGTCCTTTGATTTCCTTGGAATGAACTATTACACCTCAAATTTTGCAGCCCATCTATCTAGTCCACTTAATACTGCCAATGTCAGCTTCACAACTGATAATCAAGTTAATCAGACGAGTAAGTTTTTAAGCTAACACATTAAATTGTAAAATTCCATGTTGATTACTTCATTTTATGTTATTTGTTGTATTCTTTTTGACAATTGTATGGCGATAATCCTGTAATTTTATCAATTTATCCATTTTAACCCTGTTCTTTATTTTTTATTTTTCTTTGTTTTTAGCTTCACGAAATGGACAGCTTGTTGGTGATCCGGTATGTTTCTTAATCCAACCTCCCCCCCCCCCCTTCCCCACGCAATTTTTTTTTACGATGTTTATAATGAAGATGCCATCTCAATTCTATATATGATAATTTGTGACTGTAATAAATTATACATGCAATAAATAATCCTATTGAAAAATCATGTGACGAGTAATTTATTGTATGTTATATGGGCACCGAGGAGATTTACTTTTGAGCAAATCCTCATTCGAGAATAATTGTGCTAGTAAATGAGAATTCTTGAACTGTGACGAAGTTGAGTAAAAGTGAAGACTAAGAAGACAAACAATATTGCTAAAATGAATTTTTACTAATCAAATTCAATGTTCAGATAAGTGGATTAGTCTCACATGTTAGGACCAAAATAATCAGGTGTCATACGGAAGCTAGCAAAACAAATCTTGAGCGACGATAAATTATACAACAAAGGAGAAATGTACCAAAAGAGACACAAATATTTAACGTGGTTCGGTCAACTGACCTACGTCCACCGCGGAGATGAGCAATCCACTATATAAAAAGAGAGTACAAAATATCGAGAGAACAACCTCACAAAGAGGCAAATACAAGTGACACACTAACACGTGTCCCGTAAAGTTCTTCCCCTAAACACTACTCTAAACCCCTATAGCTACATTGTGGATGCTACTGAATGAGAATGACGGATCTTCAATTTATAGAACTCCAAACATTTTCCTACAAGAAAAAAGACTAGCCAAGTATAGGAGAATTATAATTTCCTTCTACAAAAAGGAAAACTCAATTAAGGTAATTATATTGCCCTTTCATTCAACAAATAGGAAAACCAAATATGGTAAGAAAATTATGGCAAACACCTAACAATTTTCCCCCTTGGCCGAAATTTTCTAACAAAATAAACTTGATCCACTTTCTTCACATAGCTTTCAACAAGTCGCATCTCCAAATCTCCACCACAAAGTTTGTCTCAACGTGCATAGCACACCGGTCAAATTTCTCAGAACAAAATCATGATTATAGTCAAATATGTTGTGACTAGAACTAAACCCGCCAAGATGAATCTGTCTTGAACCTCGCTCTGGTACCACTTGTTAGGACCGAAATAATTAGGTGTCATACAGAAGCTAGCAAAGCAAACCTTGAGCGACGATAAATCATACAACAAAGGAGAAATATACCAAAAGAGACACAAACATTGAGAAGGTACTCAAGAGGTTCAATATGACAAATGCAAAAGTTGTTAGTACTCCTCTTGCTAAACACTTCAAATTGAGTATTAGTCAGAGTTCATCTACTGATGAAGAGAAAAAGGAGATGTCTCGTATTCCTTACTCTTCTGCCGTTGGTAGCTTGATGTATGCTATGGTTTATACTAGACCAGATATTGCACATGTCATTGGTACTGTTAGTAGATTCCTTTCTAATCCTGGAAAAGAACATTGGGATGCAGTAAAATGGATATTAAGGTATTTGAAAGGTACTGCAGATTTGAAGCTGTGTTTTGGCAATGGCAATCCTGAACTTATTTGTTACAGAGACTCTGATTTAGGAGGCAATCTTGATAATTCAAGATCCACTTCCGGTTATTTGATCACTTTTGCAGAGGGAGCTGTTTCTTGGCAATCTAGACTACAGAAGTGCATAGCTTTATCCACCACAAAAGCAGAATATATTGTTGTCACAGAAGGTGCCAAAGAACTATTATGGATGAAGGAGTTTATTAATGATCTTGACTTTGAGCAGCCAAGGTACATCTTATTTTGTGATAATTAGAGTGCTATCTGTCTCACCAAGCACTCCACTTTTCATTCTAAGACCAAACATATAAATAAAAAGTATCATTAGATAAGAATGGCCGTGGAAGAGAAATTATTTGAGGTTGAGAAGATACACACTGATGAAAATCCTTTGGATATGCTGACAAAGGCGGTAGTTGCAGATAAACATGAATTTGTAGAAAATTGGCAGGCATGAAGCTTGTCAATATTTTCTCTACTTAAAGACACATTTGGCCCCTTGGCTGGAGGGGGAGTTTGTTGGGCTCATGCCCATGTTGTCCAGCCAAAGGCCCAATGGCCTAATCCTATTCTCTTTTGGTTTCCATTCCTATTTGGAATTGGATTCGGTTTCTTCCTATTTTGAGTGAGTTTTGGCTTTAAGAGAAAGCACCACTCATGATCTATAAATAGGACAACCTTGGAGAATTATTCTAGGCTCATTGATACAAGTCTTTGAAAGACTTAAGCACATAAGAGTAGTTTTTGAGAGAATTTTCGTCAAGAGAGAAGAGAGGAAAAATATTTGTTTTGCTGCAGATTTTATTCCGACCAGCCAACATTCAAATCACGTTTTCGATTCGTTAACCGTTGGATCGGGATGAAATTACCGAGTGTTCGTAACATCTTGGTCTTGGATTTGAACAATGGAGATCGGATTTGGAGCTCATAGAATCTGATTTCGATCCTCGAACAACAACTTCGTTTTTGTGGATTTTCCTCTTTCTTCAATTGATTAGTTGTTGCTCTTGTTACAGTTGTTGCTCCGTATTTGGCACTTGTTGTGTATCCAATTTAGACAACTTTTGTAACCCTCTTTATTGTTATAGTGGAGCTTTTTGGATCTTTGTGATCCCGTGATTTTTACCTTCGATTTGAAGGGTTTTCCACGTTAAAATTTGGTGTTCATTATCTTCTTTATTTTCGTGTTTGCCTCTTCCTCATCATAACATCATATTGTCGCCGAACTCCATCCATTATAATAGTAATTTTATAACCAATTTTGTTACGGCAAAGTAATTGAATTTTACACGCTATAATAGTAAAATTACTAAACTTACTCGTTGCACTATTAAAGTCACAAAACTAATTTTATCATTATAAAGTAATTAAACTTTACACACTAATAGTAAAGTCATTAGTTTATCCAAGATAATGATAAAACATAGTATTAATTATCAAATTGAGTAGATTGAATTATAATGTGTAACATTTAGTAACTTTATTGTTTTAATGGGTAAGATTTAGTGGTTTTGCTGTCTTAATGTTTAAAGTTTAATTACTTTAATGTTATAAAACATTTTATGATTTCACTGAAATAATAGGTAGTTAAAGTTCAAATTAGTTAAGCATGACAAAAATTAATTTTGTGAGTTTATTGTTATACTAAGTATAATTTGGCGATAGGGGTTTGTTTTATTCCATCACCTCTAATGTGCTTTAGTAGGTAAATTAGTATATGAACTCTTATGGTTTTTTGTTTCCTATTATTGTGTTATCCTCACAAGTTTGAAAATTTAACATTCTGCAGACGGGTGTGAGTATTTTCTTTGTTGCACCAAGGGGACTCTATAAGCTTCTTCTTTACATAAAGAAACATTACAAGAATCCCAAAATTTACATCACAGAGTGCGGTAAGCCAGTGATCAATTGAACATGTTATACGTTAATCATTTCTTTAGTTACATATATTGACTAAGTTAAGAATCTCTGCGTATATCGGTTTTAATATTGTTTTTCTTTTTTTGGATCGTCAATAGGAATGGGTGAGTCTAATATTACCAAAGTTGAAGAGGGTGTGAATGATATCCAGAGAGTTGACTTTTATAAACGCCACATCAAGGCTCTTTACGAAGCTTTTAAGTAAGTATAATTTATTTATTTTAATATTTTGATTATTAACCGTTATGTATCTTTTAACTTTAAATAAAAAACAATGCTCTTTTTTATTTAGTTTTCCCTTTTTTTGCAGAGAGGGGGTGAACGTTCATGGTTTCTTTGCATGGTCATTTTTCGACAACTTTGAATGGGGTTCAGGATACACCCAGAAGTTTGGCATCAACTTTATAGACTACAAGAATAATCTCAAAAGATACCCCAAAAAATCTGCTCTTTGGATGAAGAGATTCCTTCTCAAGTAGAATCGTGATTCTGTGCTGAATGTATCAAATAAAAGTTCCGTAATGGAAGTGTTTCAAGCGTATTATCTATGATTGCCCGTTTTAATACCTTCTTTATGATTCTGCAACAAGTTTTATTATATCTAGGAAAAATACATAAGTTGCCTTAAATTAGTACTACAAATTTATGTTGCTAATCTTATTTAGCGACAAATTAACGATGAATTTGTGTCTGTCCATTCGTAGCTAACCCTTTTGCGAAGGGAAAATCAAATCCATGCAAAGTTTGCAATTATTAGCGACGATTGTATTCACTGCCATATTTAGCGGCAGAACAATCCATCGTTATTTAATTAATTAATTCAGTCCAAATTCAAAATTAATTTTGTGTTATAATTAATTCAGGACGAAAATTCAGTTGCTAATCTGTCACAATTTTTTATTTCATATGCTACTTTTAGCAACGAAAAATATCCGTCGCAAAATTGTGGAAGATTTCATTTCCTTGTGGAATCTTTTATTTAATGTTTTAAATGCATTCTGTTCAAACATATTACATGAAATTTAGTAACACCAGAAAATTCTCTCTCTAAAAATAATACTCTCTCCAACGGCTAACTCAACGACTATATTATCCAGCTCGTATCTCCACGCTCCACCAGATGAAGCCGCCGGGAGGCCTACTTCCGGCGAGTAAGGAGAAGCAAAATATCCCCTTGAGGGAGCGAAACTACCCACTGAAGGAATTCAAAAGAAAATCTCTTATGCAACATAGGTCACAACTCCGTCTTCTTCCAATTCGAACCCAATTCGCCATGAAAGGGAGCAAGTTATTGCAAGGCATACAACTCACAATGGAATGCAAACAGTGATATTCAAGGCTAAAGACTTCTATGGCATAATGGCAGAAGAACGTAAGTACACAATTATTGGTCGATTTCTTAAACCTCGCCCCCAAATTGATAGAATTAGGTCAAGGTTTAAGGAGCTGATAACTCTGAAAGAATCCGCCAGAATTAGTGTTTATGACAATTACAATGTCTTCATCGATCTGTTCAACGAGGAAGATTGGCAAACGATAATGTTTAAAAGAGTGATTGAAATTGATGGTCGGCAAATGTGGCTACAAAAATGGTCCCCTGATTTTAAACCTGAGGAAGATCTCTATGTTGCCCCAGCGTGGGTATTACTGCCGGGACTGCCTTTCCATATGCACACATGGCACTATGTTAAACAAATTCTCAGTTCTGTTGGAACCCTTTTGGTTCTAGATGCGGCTACCTGTGGAAGAACTAGACCAAGTATGGCCAAGATTAGGGTGGAGGTTAATCTCCTTAAGCCTCTGCCGGAAAGTGTATTCATAGGCCAGGAATATGAGGATTCACCACTAGATGGTTACACTCAGAAATTAGAATATGAGGCCATACCTAAGTATTGTAAACATTGTAGAAAACTGGAACACAATGTGATTGAATGCATGGCTTTAGATAAGAAGATTGCAACTAATGTCGAGGAGGTGCAAGACAAAAGCAAGGAGCATCAAACCAAGAACAAAGTAGCTGGTAAAGAAGAAGACCGCAACAACAAGCTAGAGAAAAATGAGACTGATACTACAAAGAATCAAAAACCAGTAGAGGGTGAACAGACTCTGAAGAGAAAAACTCAAAATATTGAGGAGGAAGAGGTAAAACAGAAAACAGACAGCCCTATACTACAACAAAAGATTGATGCTGAAACAAAAAGGAAGAAGAAAAAGAATAAGAAAGCAATGAAAATGCCAAAAAAGAAGAGCAGTGTCAAATTCAAACCTGCTATCAGAGATAAGATCACTAAGAAGCACTATCATGTCAAAAGCCTATCAATTCCACTACAAATAACAGCCTCGATGACTTAAGGTAATCACCAAGAGAATGTTCTAAGTAAAGATCGAGTAGCAGAGGGGGAACCCACTATGACTACTAATCAACTTCATGATACTGGAGAAATAAGAGCAAAGAGTACATGGAAGGAGGTAAAGAGCAGTGAGGAAAACAACAATGGCCAAAACAAACACAAGGGAGACAATCAAGAGAACAATACAATCACAGAGGCTACAACTGAGGATGTCCAGTCGACTAGCTTACCCTCTGATATCAAAAACCAAAAATCCATAAATATTTGTGTATATCTTAATTGGGATCACACGAAAAATCAAAGCCAACTGCCTGAATGTTGCAACCAAGGACAAATCAACCATATGGAAGAAGAAGAAACTATGGAATCCAAAACTATGACTGATAGAGAGGAGGTTACTTCTCAAAATCAGAATGAAGATGGATTTTCCTATTCTAGAGAAAGCAGCAGAAACAGAAAGAATGATAGGAAGAAAAGTAAACAAAAAGACCTCACAGAGATTGCTGAAAACTCCATAGACAAAAATGAATCACCTCTGTCCAGAGAAAGAAACAAAAACAAAAAAGCAGGAAAACAAACCAAAAACAACACATCCTCTTCTGGTAAAGAAAGAGGAAGCAAACAACAAACCTCCCCCTCAAACCAATGATTAGTACAATCTTATGGAATATAAGAGGGGTAAGATCCAAGAAGGCGATTCACAGACATAAACTTCTTATCAACATCAACAAGGTAGTTTTTGTGGCAATATTTGAACCCTTTGTTGATATGAATAAGATAAATGGATACAAAAGGTTCTTACGATTTAAACATTGTCACGCTAATTTCAATGGTAAGATCTGGTGCTTCTGGAACTACCTGGATCACACTGAGGTGTTGTTAAATAGTGAACAATAAATTACTCTCAATATGAAAGAAAATGTTGCAGATTCAGGAACCTTCATTACAACAGTATATGCCAAATGTACTACTAGTGAAAGAAGAGATCTGTGGGATAATATTCATAACATGAACAACACTATTGATGGCCCTTGGTGTATTGGTGGTGACTTCAATATTATCATGGATACGATTGAAAAACTAGGTGGTAATCCTCATCGAGCATATAGAAGTCTGGTTTTTATTAGCACTATGGAATCTTATGGCTTAATGGACATTGGTTTCACTGGACCAAGATACACTTGGTGCAACAATAGAAGACCTAGCAAAAGAATTTGGAAGAGATTAGACAGGATTAAGATCAATGATCAATGGGCTCAGCACTTCCAAAATAACACTGTGAAACATTTTGTAAGGAATGGTTCTGATCATAGAGTCATTCTAGTAAAATGTCATAATGACCAACAACATTACATCAAATACTTCAGATTCCTCAACTTTTGGACCACTCAACCTGGATTTCTATATATGGTTTAGGAGATATGGAACACCAATATTGAAGGTAATGCTATATGGAGGCTCCAAAGTAAGCTGAAACATCTTATTAAGCATCTCAGTCAATAGTCAAGGGAAAATATTGGGGACATTCATGAACAAGTAAGTTCCTGGGAAGCTAAGGTGCAAATCCTAGAAGAAATTGATATGCAAAATAACAATTAGCAAGGAAGAGAAGAGCTAAACAGATGTTATGCTAAATATACTAAATGGCTGGGAATGCAAGAATCCTTGATGAAATAGAAAGCTAGGATTAATTGGTTCAAGGATGGTGACTGCAACACTAGCTATTTTCATAGTATTCTGAGAGACAGTAGAAGAAGACTTCAACTTCACAGAATGAAAAATCATAGAGATAGGTGGATACAAGGTGAGGATAGAATTGTTAAGGCTGCTGTCAAGCACTTTAAGAGTTTCTTCAATCTCAACCAGCAGCCTAGTGTGAGCAATGATATCCTGAATTGCATTCCTAACCTTATTACAGAGCAAAACAATAAGAGGTTGATTATCCTGCCTTCAGAAGAGGAAATCAAAGACACTGTTTTCAGTATGAGCATTGAAAGCTCTGCTGGACCTGATGGCTTTAATGAAAAAAAATTTCAAGCTACATGGGATATCATCAAGCGAGACATCATTGAAATTGTCATGGATTTCTTTAAAGGGAAGAACCTCACTAAATTTTACTCTCACACCTGCATTGCTCTTATCCCCAAGGTGGATTCTCCGTCCAGATTTGAAGAACTCAAACCTATTAGTCTATGCAATTACACTAGTAAGATCATCTCTAAACTTTTATCCAGAAGGTTGAATCCTCTTCTATCCAAGCTAATCTCTAAAAACTAAAGTGGTTTTGTCTCTGGGAGACTAATCACATAAAATGTAATGCTAGCTCAGGAGATCATTCATGATATCTCAAAACAAAATAAGGGTGGAAATATTATTATGAAACTTGACATGGCTAAAGCCTATGATAGGCTCTCTTGGGGCTTTCTTATTGTCGTCCTTAATAAATTTGGGTTCTGTAAAGAATAGTCTGATATGATTTGGAGAATGGTCTCAAATGTTTGGTACTCGATTATTATTAATGATACTAGGCAAGGCTTCTTTACCTCTTCTCATGGACTCAAGCAAGGGGATCCTTTATCCCATCTCTCTTTATTCTTGTTGCAGAAGTATTAACTAGATCTTTGAACAACCTCATTCATAAGGAGAACTTCACTAGCTTCTCTATGAATAAGAGAGGGCCTCAAATAAATTATCTAGCTTATGCTGACGATATTGTTATCTTCTGTGGTGGTAATTCAAAAACTGTCAAGACGGTGATAAAAGAGATCAGAAAATATGAAAAGGCATCGGGTCAGCTTGTCAACAAGGATAAAAGCTTTTTCCTCACTGGCCCTAAAACTAGTGCTTATAGAATCAATAGATTGAGAGATTGCACAGGCTTTATGGACAAGAGCTTCCCTTTCACTTATCTTGGTTGTCCAACATATGTTGGAAGGAAAAAGATATGCTTCTTTGATAACATGGTTACCAAAATTATAAAGAGTCTTAATGGATGGCAAGGTAAAATGTTAACCTATGGGCGCAGAGTGGTTCTCATCAAGAGTGTTTTACAGCCTCTGCCCACTTACACGCTTACTGCTCTAAACCCTCCCAAAGGCACTTTGAACCTCATTGAAAAACATATGGATAGGTTCCTTTGGGGAACTACTGGGAAAAAAAATAATTATCATTGTAGTTCTTGGAAAATCTTATGCTTTCCTAAAGAGGAAGGTGACATTGAAATTAAAAGTCTTGAAGATATCTCTGCCACCTTAACTATCAAGAGATGGTGGAGATTTAGAACTATACCTTTATTATGGGCTGATTTTCTCAGAGCTAAATATTGCCCAAGG